GAAAGACCAAAATTAAGAAAACGTTTTTGTGACAGATCCCTCTGTCCTGAACTGAAATGACCGTATTTCTCATTTGTTTGTTTGATTCATGTTTCCCCGTTCCTGTGGACTCTATGCCATTCCCTTTCTATGTACCGAATAAAACTACCGAACAGCCGGCCACCCAGTAGAGAAGTGTGCTGCTGGTTAACCTCTTGGCCCCATCAGAACGTTGAGGTTAACCGCAGACACCTCTTAATTGATACGGTAGTTGGGTGGCTGCCAATCATATGCCGAACACGAGGTCGCGGCCATTTTAAACACGCAAACGCACAGCGGTGTTCAACGTCCAACTCATGGAACTCAAAACGGATACATTTTGGCACGAACACCGTTGAAGCCGCCGACCTCCCTTCTTGTTCGGTAGAAAGTGCACAAACGGCCCTAGATTCGGTAGTTTGTACCTGAATACACCATACCCCAGATAGGCATCCCATGGAGCCCCATCATATGAGAACTGACTTTGTGAACACTTTGGCTCCACGGCGATTGGACTGTGTGCATAGGATCTGAGCACTATTCAGTACTTTGGTATGCTCAGATCCTAGCTATCTGGGGACCTGTTGAATGCCTGTAATATGTTGTAAAATGTAACAGTTATGTATTTTTATGTCTTTTTGTTATTGTCACCTAAAATGGCATTTAGGCTCTGTCCTGGGAGATAATTGAATTACTTCACAATTATCTCCCCAGGCAGAGCAGAGCGTTCTGGGTAAGAAAAGGGGAATGGCTAAGTGTGCTACCCTGTGATTGGTTGTTACAATGTCCTTGTCACAGTCTCCCATTTGGTCCCCTAGGGGAGTGTCCACCAGATGGGAGACTTGCATAAAAGCCGGGCATGTAGCCCTCATTAAACCAGATTCCTGCTGACCATCAATACAGAGCTTTGTCTCGTCATTGGGGGGATTATTCTTATGGAGTACGCTTGTTCGGCTGTTTGGAAGAAAACTTGATTTGTGTGATTACTGTTCGGCTGTTTGGGAAACGAATTGATCCGTACGGCTACTGTTCGGCAGTTTGGAGCGCTCTGTGGCTACCTCTACGTTCGGTAAGGGAACGTCCCATAAGGCTGTAACTCCTCTCCTACCGGGGGAGCCCTAACAGTTTTTTTGTGTTTTTTTTTATATATTTTTGCTGTTTAGAAGGTAGCTCCTTAATTTGCTTCCCTATGTATATCACATTCCATATACATTGTATATGTACCACATACATTCTATATACTTGCAGCAACTACTTTCCATACACATGCAGAACATACATTCTGTATTTATGCAGCACATACATTCTGTACACACACACACCACACACAACCTGTTTTTTATTTAATATCTTTGTATTGATCATTTTTACACAATAAAAAATAAAACAAAACATGAACCAGGATAACAGTGATTTACTATGGCATATCCATATTACATCACATTTGGATATTATGTTACATAATAAAAAAAGTGATATATACTTTCTTATTTGGTAAATATAGCAATCCCACATAAATTAGTTTTGTCCAAAATTGCTAAATTCTGCTAAATTTGTCCAAATTTTGATTCAGGACAAATGGATTGCAAATCCTTAATATTTAGTAAACTGAAGATATCTAAACAATTTCAGGGATAAGAGTTATTGATAACAGTGGATCTTATAAATGGAATTTTAAAGGATGAGCAGTTGAGCATCAGTAGCTCTACAATCTAATGAATGAGGAAGGAACTCAAGGTAAATTTACAGGCTAAAAAGCCACAGGCAGCAAATAGAAAAAACATTAAATATTAGTATTTTTTTTAATACAAGAATAGATTGCCTGCTGCAAATACATGCTGGGATAGAGTTCTCTCTGTACTTTTCATACTATTGTGCACCATACTTGAAAATAGCAACATTACAGGAATTTAGAAGTGTGATTGATGCAAAATACAGTGAATTATATCATGCCTCAATTATAAGCAATCGGTTGGCTTAAAGGAAAACTACTGGAAACAATACAAGTATATTACTCTCTTTATTTCAATGTGTGGATATTCTCAGAGAGGTGCAGTGTGTATCGGGTCTCTCCTTTTGGGTGTATGAAAGATGCACATAAACCACATAGACGGCAGAATCGAGGAAGAGGTTGTGCACATTGGAAAACATTCTCGGGCATTGAAACATGCAGCTTTGTAAAAATAGACAGAATAAACCATGACAAATTCTAGTTATGTAGAGTAAATCATAAATTGGATTAGATCCATATACAGTGTGTGTTACGTGATAACATGGAAGTTGAGGCAATGTGAACTGATGACTGTCAAGGTAAAGATAAAGATAAAGCTAACGTTATAGATGAGCATTGGGTTCACATGTAATGGCTGAATACTAATTAACAAGACTACTGTACTCAGTATAGCACAGTGGGCTAATACATCATCAGCAGGTTCAAATCCTGGCAGTGTTGCCTCAGCCCTTCAACCTTCTGAGGTAGATAAAATGAGTACCATTAAAATGAGTACCATTAAATTGGGTAATAGTAAAGGGACTTGAAAACCAGAGTAATCTGAATGTGCCTTCCCTGGTTAAAGGTAATATGAAGTTGTTACAGTGCCTAAATTTTATATATTTACTATGGGTGTCCTTTCCTTCTAATGCAAGTTGCTTTGTAGTTCAGATCATTCAGTACCGTCACTATTTGATCTGTGAACACGCATTTGATAAGGAAGTCCTTTTCTGTTGTGAGAGGGCATGGCTAGGGAGGCAGGCTAAAAATACAACATATTTACCCCTTCAGGACGGAGTCAATAGTGCACGTTCTGATCAAAACAAAACGTAAACAAAAACTGGAATTTAGGCTATATGTATGTTCAACCGTAATTCACCGCTGTCACATTAAGTGCACCCACACTTATTATATATCATTTTGTTCAGGAGAAACAGGGCTTTAATTTATCTTTAACTATTCATATATGGAACATAATTTATTATGAATAAAATTTAAAAAAATGTGAAAAAATACGAATTTTTTTTTTTTAATTTGTATTTCCGTCTGACATTTTAGCTGTGAATGTCATAATACTGTTGGGTTTTACTGCAAGAAAAAAATGCACATATTTGTAATCAGCGATGTCTCATGAGTACAACAGTACCCCCCCATTAACAGATTTTATGGTGTTTTGGAAAGTTACAGGGTCAAATATAGAACGTTCCATTTTCAAACTGAAATTTGCCAGATTAGTAATGTTACATTTGAGACGGTGTGGTAGCCCAGGAATGAAAATTACCCACATAATGGCATACCATTTGAAAAAGTAGACAACCCAAGGTATTGAAAGTGGGGTATGTTTAGTCTTTTTTAGAGGCCACTTAGTCACAAACACTGGCCATAGTTAGCACTCATATTTGTTTTTGTGTGAAAAAAGCAAAAAACTAATATTTTGCCAGTGTTTGTGACTAAGTGGCTACTAAGAAAGACTGGACATACCCCACTTGCAATACCTAGGGTTGTCTACTTTTGCAAATGGTATGCCATCATGGGGGTAATTCTCATTCCTGGGCTAGCATACGCTCTCAAAGACAACATAACCAATCTGGCAAATTTCAATGTCAAAAAAATGAAATGCAAGCCTTATATGTGACTCTCTAACTTTCCAAAACACCATAAAACCTGTACATGGGGGGGTACTGTTATTCTCGGGAGACTTCACTAAACACAAATATTAGTGTTTTAAAACAGTAAAACATATTACAACAATAACTTAGTCCATAAAAGTGCCGTTCTTTTGTAAAAAAATGCAAATAAACGTCACTTTTACTTAAAATATCATCGTTGTAATACAATTTACCAGTTTGAAACACTAATATTTGAGTTCAGCGAAGTCTCCTGAGTAAAACAGTACCCCCTATATACAGGTTTTATGGTGTCTTGGAGAGTTACAGGGTCAAATATAGTGCTTGCGAATTAAATTCTCTGCACTTTCTCCCTGTGTTGTCAGGCATGTCAATCAAATTTTAATTAATCAAATCACATAATTATGTTAAAAGATTACTTAAATATACATGTAGAATTTTAATATATATGCATTTATAGGTATTTAAATTCTACGTGTATACTAATGTAATCTTTTATGTAATTATATGTATTTATCTATATATATATGTTTGCGGTTATTTGTATTTATATATAGATAGATATATATAGAATGTCATTCTAAGTGTTTTTTGTTACCAATATATATATATTAATAACAAAATACATATGAATATAAAATTTATATTAAATTTTGTTTCAATATTTTATTTATTTTATTTATTTTATTATTTTATTTATTATTGTAATTATACGTATATATATATAATATGTGTATATATCTATTATATATATATATATATATATATATATATAATATATATATGTAATATATATGTAACATCATTCTAAGTGTATTTTAATACTAATATATGTGCTTATATTAATATTAAAATAAACTTTGTATGACGTTACATATATGTATGTATATGTATATTATATATAATATATACATATATTATATATATAAATACATTTCTATTTTATTTGATAGCATGTTTAATGATTTTTCTTTTACTTTCCCACCAGCAGGGGGACTGTCTGACATTTCAGACAGTCCCCCTGCTGGCAGATCCACAGCCAGCTATAGAGGGCAATGTAATCGCTCTTTGAGAGCGATCACATGGCCCCCAGGGGCCTGATTTGCCGGAGGAGGGCTACCTGGGCTGTCAGGCAGTCCTCCAGAAGAGGATCGCGGCGGAGGTGAGTACCGCGGACCTCCAGGGGCTCAAACCTCTTATGGCGTTCACATGGACTACTGTAACTCTCTCCTAGTTGGTCTCCCCAAAAACTGAACTGCCCCACTACAATTGGTAATGAATGCTGCCACCAGACTGATCTTTCTCACCTGTCGCTCCTTCCATACCTCGCCCCTCTGTCGATCCTTACACTGGCTTCCTGTATCCTATAGGTGTCAATTCAAAATACTAACCCTTACCTGTAAAGCTCTAACCAACTCTAGCCCTTCTTACATTTCTTCCCTTATTCATAGCATGCCCCTTCTTGGTCTCTCCGCTCTGCCGGTGACCTTCTCCTGTCCACTGCTCGCACCCTTACTGCTAACTTGCGCTTGCAGGACTTCTCGCGGGTGGCTCCCTTGTTTTGGAACAGCCTGCCTACCCTCATCAGACTCTCCCATAGTCTTCAATTGTTTAAGAAGTCCCTCAAAACACATCTGTTCAGAAATGCTTATGGACTCCCAGAGTAACTTATCTATACTTTTCCAAATCTGTCTCTCGCTCTCCTTAAAGAGTCATACTCCACTCTCACCTCCAAGTCTGCTACTTTTCCACCTTATTTGGTGGCTGTCACCCTTGCTGCCCTGTTGTGCATTTGTACCCCACTTCCTCTAGACTGTAAGCTCGTTTTAGCAGGGCCCTCATCTACCTATTGTTCCTGTGTCATTGTGTAATTGTCTAATTTATTGTAAATTTCTCCCTTTCATAATATTGTAAAGTCTTGCGGAATTAGTTGGCACTATATAAATACCAGTAATAATAATAATAATAAATCATGTCCAAGGATATAGAAAACTAATGCATGTCTCTTATCCTCTAGGGGAAAGAGTCAGTTGTTAATACCAGAGGACCAGTCTGTTTTTCTCACAATTACTCTGTAATAGGATTACATGCTATAGAGTTGTACTTTTTACAGTTCTAAGAAAATATTTGAAGGACTATTAAGGGATAATATTCATGAATTAATTGGGAAGAACTTTGTTATTAGCAATAATCAGCATGGTTTTATGAAACATAGGTCATGTCAAACTAACCTAATTGAATTCTACAAAAAAGTAAATAGAAGTATAGATCAGGGTGTTGCAGTGGATGTGATCTACTTGGATTTTGCCAAGGCACTTGATACGGTACCTCACAATAGGTTAGTCTTCAAACTAAAAGAAATTGGTCTAGATTAATATTCTCGTTCTTGGGTAGAACATTGGCTTAAGGATGGAGTACAACGAGTTGTCATTAATGATACATTTTCAGGCTGGACAAAAGTGGTAAGTGGTGTCCCTCAGGGTTCTGCTATGGTACCCCTTCTATTTAACATATTTATAAATGATCTTGCAATAGGCAGTGAAAGTCATGTTTCAGTGTTTGCAGATGACACAAAACTTTGTAAAGTAATAAAATGTGAGCAGGATATTGCTTTGCTGCCGAGGGATTTAGATAAATTGGAGGACTATGCACCAACATGGCAGATTAAATTTAATGTAGAGAAATGCAAAGTTATGCACTTCGAGGTTAAGAATGCACAAGCAATTTACACCTTAAATGGTAGTGAATTATGGATAATCACACACGAGAAGGATTTGGGAATTGTTATAGACAACAAATTAGGCAATAATATGCAATATCAATCCGCAGTTGCTAAGGCCAGTAAGGTTTTGTCATGTATAAATAAGGGCATAAATTCTCGGGATGAAAATATAAATTTGCCACTTTATAAAATCGCTGGTAAGACCACACCTTGAATATGCTGTGTAATTTTGGCCACCTGTTCTAAAGAAGGATACCATGGCACAAGAAAAAGTGCGGAGACAAGCTACAAAATTGATAAAAGGAATGGAGTATTTTAGTTACGAAGAAAGGTTAAAACATTTAAATCTCTTTGGTTTGCAAAAAACGCATCTCAGAGGGGCTATGATAACATAATATAAATATATTCAGGGCCAGTTCAAACCATTATCTGGAAATCTATTCATAAACAGGGCTATACATAGGACACAAGGTCACGCATTTAGGCTGAAAGAATGGAGATTTCATCTAAATCAAAGAAAAGGTTTTTTTAAACAGTAAGAGCAATAAGGATATGAAATTCTCTATATACTAAAAGATAATCACTTAATACCAATGTGATAGAAAAGTGAAAGGACAGCACTTATCTCAATGGAAAGTGGTAACAGCTTTCTCCAGGAATAACCCAGCAATGATCCCTTTAAATACCATATGAATATAAACAAAAGAGGATACAGCTGCAGATCTACAAAAAGAATATAAAACAGATTAATAGTGTAACACTGTATGGTAAGATGTAAGTGTATGGAATTCTCTGCCTGAAGAGGTGGTTTTATCAGAGTTTAAACAGCAATTGGATAAATACTTGCAAAAACATAACATACAGGGTTATAATTTCTAATTAGTGGGGTAATAGCTGCTTAATCCAAGGAGATATCTGACTTCTATTTCGGGGTCAAGAAGGAATTTTTTTCCTAGTTTGTTGCAAAATTGGAAGCACTTCAGACTGGGTTTTTTGCCTTCTTTTGGATCAACAGCAAAAACATATGTGAGGAAGGCTAAACTTGATAGAGAAAAATCTATTTTCAACTATGTAACTATGTAATTCTTATAATCACACGGAAAGATACATACGTGTACATGAACTCTCTATCTATGTATAAACTTATAAACTCATACAGATATATAAAACATATAAGTACGTGAAATATTGCACTCTTGATTAAAACTGTTACAGTGCCTTGCAAAAGTATTCACCCCCCCTTGGCATTTTTCGTGTTTTGTTGCCTCACAACCAGGAATTAACATGGATTGTTTGAGGATTTGCATCATTTAATTTACAGAACATGACCACAACTTTGACCATGTTTCTTTTTTTTTTTTATTGTGAAGCAAACAACAAATAGGACAAAATAACAAAAAAAGTAAATGTGCATAACTATTCACCCCCCTAAAGTCAATACTTTGTAGAGCCACCTTTTGTGGCAATCACAGCTCCAAGTCGCTTTGGATAAGTCTTATGAGCGTGCCACATCTTACCACTGGGATTTTTGCCCATTTCTCCTTGCAAAACTGCTCCCACTCCTTCAAGTTGGATGGTTTGCGCTTGTGAACAGCAATCTTTTGCTGTCTGACCACAGATTTTCTATTGGATTGAGGTCTGGGCTTTGACTAGGCAATTCCAAAACATTTACATGTTTCCCCTTAAACCACTCAAGTGTTGCTTTAGCAGTGTGTTTGGGGTTACTGTCCTGCTGGAAGGTGAACCTCAAATCACGCATAGAGGGGTACAGGTTTTGCTCAAGAATATCCCTGTATTTAGCACCATCCATCTTTCCCTCAACTCTGACCAGTTTCCCAGTCCCAGCTGCTGAAAAACATCCCCACAGCATGATGCTGCCACCACCATGTTTCACTGTGGGGATGCTGTTTTTTGGGTGATGTGATGTGATGTGTTGGGTTTGCGCCAGACATAGGGTTTTCTTTGATGGCTGAAAAGTTCAGTTTTAGTCTCATCAGACCTGAGTACCTTCCTCCATACATTTTGGGAGTCTCCCACATGCCTTTTCACAAACTCAAAACGTGCCATTTTGTTTTTTGCTGAAAGTAATGGCTTTCTTCTGACCACTCTGCCATAAAGCCCAACTCTATGGAACGCACGGCTTATTGTCGTCCTATGTACAGATACTCCAGTCTCTGCTGTGGAACTCTGCAGCTCCTCCAGGGTTACCTTAAGTCTCTGTGCTGCCTCTCTGATTAATGCCCTCCTTGCCCGGTCTGTGAGTTTTGGTGGGCTGCCGTCTCTTGGCAGGTTTGCTCTTGTGCCATGTTCTTTCCATTTGGTTATGATAGATTTGATGGTGCTCTGGGGATCATCAAATATTTTGATATTTTTTTAAACCTAATCCTGACTTGTACTTCTCAACAACATTGTCCCTTACTTGTTTGGAGAGTTCCTTGGTCTTCATGGCAGTGTTTGGTTAATGGTGCTTCTTGCTTAGGTTTTGCAGCCTCTGGGGCATTTAAAAAAAGGTGTGTATATGTAATGACAGATCAAGTGACACTTAGATTGCACACAAGTGGACATTATTTCACTAATTATGTGACTTCTGAAGGTATTTTTTTGCACAAGAGATTTTTATGGGCTTCATAACAAAGTGGGTGAATACATACGCACATGCCAATTTTCTGTTTTCTATTTCTAAAAAATTGTTTTATGTATATATTTTTCTCATTTCACTTTACCAACTTAGACTATTGTGTTCTGATCCATCACATAAAATTCAGATTAATAAAACATTGAACCTAAGGCTGTAATGTAACAAATTAGGTACAAAGTCAAGGGGGCTAAATACTTTTGCAAGGCACTGTATTTCCTCAGTCTTGGAAACCAGAAGTTCCAAAACTGTTAGGGATTCTCAAATTTGTCTGGAGTTCCTAGTTAGTTTGTTAGAATCCAGGAAAAATGCATTAACCAATAGGTCAATAGTACCCTTTTCTATCCAATACCATTTTAGTGTGATTTTGGAGTAAATCCATATTTGATACACTACAACAAAGAAACAAAATAATATACACATATATACATAAACAGAGATAATAAATTGAAGAACTACATTTACATAAAGTGTTGTTTTTTTGACTTGCTTTGACGATTTTTAAGTCTTAACGAATATAATAAACATACACACAATTTTATTATTTTAAGGTTATTATCTCTACCTGCACATGGTTCAATTTAATCCTTTACTTATTTCTTAGGAGACCAATGAGTTTGAAAACATACTATTTTTATAGGCACATATTAGCACTTGTCAGTAGTTAACATGGCAAGGTTGTTCCTTTACCAATTAAACAGGTGTGAATCACGCTATAAATTGGCTATGAGAACTAAAGAAATACATAACTGACTGTTCTGTTATAATAAAGATGTTTTCAGTGAAATTGTTCAACTAGAAAGCTCCAAGTGATAATTTTAACCTTTCAGATATAACACAAAAAAATAATTTTATTGCAAGAATACCCATATATAAAGGCAAACTAGCACTATCATGGAAAGTTTAAAGCATAAGAGGAAATCAGTTAAACAACTATGTGCATGCTAAAACTAAAAGGATATTAATACTTTTTGAAGTCTCTAAATAAGCAGTTGCATAGAATAGATGATATATATATATATATATATATATATATATATATATATATATATATATATATATTATAAGGCGTTTGATTTGATTAGTTACTTGCTATTGATCGCTGTTTAAATTAGCTATTGTTTGCAAATAAGCAGAGGCCTACCCAGGTGTTAAACATTCCTAGTGGGTGGTGATTTTAGGAGTTATATAAGGGTTGTTGTCATTAGCTTGGCTAATATAGCTTGGTTGCTTCATCTAAGAGTTGCTTCTAAGTGTGTTGTTGGAGATATTCTGTAGAGTTTTACAGAAGCTTCAACTGTCTAAGAGTTGTGCTAAGAGCTTTCTTTTCTACTGTTACAGGTAAGATTCATCTGTAGGAAAAGGTTACTGATTGCCCAAGGTTTGAATTCCTGTTGGTAATTATAAGGCATTT